GGAGGGCAGAGTGCGGGCGGGGGGAGCGCGTCCCGCGCCCGCGGACTCACCGCAGCAGCACCAGCTTCCTGCCCGGCGCAGCGGAGCTCAGCTAGGCGGTGCGCCCCGCCCCGCCACTGCGCACGCGCCGTCTCGCTTCCAGCGCGGGCAGCCCCGAGCATCATGGGAGTTGTAGGCCAGGCCGGGGAAGAGGCGCGGAGCCCGACCACCTGCCTCTTCCCAGGCAGCGTCACCCTGGCAGGTACGAAGCTGCGTGTGGGGACATGGTAGAAGGGGCCCCTTCCTGTGAGGCAGGGCCACACTTGGCCCTTCTGCTCCCACAGTAGCACGAGTTTGTAGCTGGACACCCAGCTCCACCTGCCTAGACCGGCCTCCAGCCACTGCAGTCTAAAGCAGGGCCCCACACGAAATGCGCGGTACTGACAAGTCTCCTCCACCAGCCTAATGGTGCCTGTGCCAGGACTCAGGCCAGTTAGGCTAGGGGTTGGCGACCTACAGGCCACACGCCAGATCTGACCCCACAAGGACGGCCAATTCAGTCCAGTTCAGCACGAGGGGTCGGTGGCACGGAGCTGGCCCAGGCTGCTGATCCCCTCTGCAGCGCTCCCCTCCGCTGCAGACCCTGCTGCCCCCCAGCGCTGGATTTACACACAGGCAAATAGGCACATGCCCAGGGCCCTACGTGAAAAGGGGGCCCAGTTGTGGTTACTTCACATATTATAATTATTGAGTGAAAAGGATAGGGGCCATGAGTTTGTTTGCTTAGGGCCCACTAAAGGGTCAATCTGGCCCTGTGCCCTACCACATCTGTGCTTCTCACTGCACAGGGAATGGAGATCGGCACCAAGGGTTGCAGCTGCTTCCAGACATGGAGTATGTCTGTACAACATGAAAAAGAAAGTACACGGGTACAACCTACGCCCCCAGACATGGAGACTTGTGGGCGACAGGGTCACAAGGGCAGCCCACATCAGTAAATGTTGCCAACCCCCAGGTTAAGCTGCTGTTGTCACACAAGAGCTAGAGCTTCTCAAAGAAACTTCCCTAAGAACGTTTACATGGACAAATAGAACGTGTTCTTTGCTGTGCTTTGATTTAAAAAACAGCTGGAACTTTCAAAAAATCATCTGGATGCAGACATTTAGTTTGGAAAATTTTCCACCTTAATGGCTAAAGTTTGGCAAAGTTGTGCACAGTTGAAATGGGCTATAATGCAAACTGTCTGTTCATTTTTAGAATAGGCTGTTTTATCAACTTTCCCTATGCTATAATCATTAAATCTAGCATTGTTATAGTACTTTGTATTTAAGCATTTCAAAGCAGTTTATAAATATTAATGAACCTCATCACATCCATGGGAAACAGAGAAGTATTATGTCCAGTTTGAACACACGGAGACTGTGGAACATGAGTTGTCCAAGGTAGTAAGGAAGTTAATGGTAGATCCAGGAATAGAAACTATAGCACAGTAAACAGACACCATTTCTCCAGGGAGAAAGCCATTTGTCCTGGGATCTTACAGACATACAAGTCCATTGTTCTATTTAAAGTACCAGTGAAGTCTAGGAGATAAAATGTGCTAACCCCCTCCCACCCAATGCTGCATATGTTTGTAAGTTAATTGCAGCTCATTCAAGTTAATTGCCATACATTCCAGGGACACATCTGTGGGCTCTCCCTGGCCACCTACTGGCAGAGGAGTAGCAAAGAGGCACAGTTAACAGTGTTAGTCTGAAGTCAAGCAAAAGGCGAGGTAGATCTGCACCTTATAGACTAACCAAAGTGTGTATGTGTGTACATATATAGAGATGCATATATACATAGATACCTTTTGTGACCCGAAGCACACTCCATCAGATAGTGCAAAAGATATATATGGATCTTTTGTGAATTGGAGCTGACTTCATCAGATACTGCAAAAGACATGAAGAAAGCAGAGTATAAGAAGACAAAAAATAAAATATAAAAGATCCAGGGGAGGAGAGAGAGCCAGAGAGAGAAAGATGGAAGGAGAGGGGCAGTGCTGGGAGAGACAAGCAAAAAAGCAGTACACCCATAAGAGCCTTGTTATACATTACTCTGTAAGACACACCAACATTAATCAGCTTAGTGTTGTTCAGCTTAGAGAAAAAACATCAGTGACGATGCAGGGGGTGAGCTCCAGAGGAAAAAAAAGGATTCGGCCCCTAGGACACAGCCCCAGGTAGGGCCAGCCTGGAGGAGGGCAGAGCTCGGCAGCTGCGGCACAGCAACCTAAGGTCAGTTCCTACTGACCCTGCGCTCTGCTGGGCTGTGCAGGGTCCTGGCAGCAACTTCAGTTAGCAGGTACTTGAAGCCCCTGAAGACCCCCTGTAGCAGCCAGATGGCTCTGGGCACAGAGCACGGAGCTTGGCTGCCTGTCCTGTTTGGGGCTGCATAGAGCAGGTGGGGAAGCTGCACCACTCAGAGCTGCCTCCCACACCCAGTGGGGGTGGGAAGTCCCATCTCTGTATATCACCCCCAGTCATGTTCCCAGAACGCTGGGCCTGAGCAGAGTGAGCAAGCTCCAGGGCTTCAGCGCTGGCTCTGCTCAGCAGAAACAGCAAGCCTGGGAACATGGGTACAGGGACTGGATTTCCTGCCCCCACCAGGCTTGGGAGGCAGCTGTGAGTGATGCAGCCTCCCCACCTGCTCTGTGCAGCCGCAGCCCGGACAGGAAGCATCAAGACCTGACCTCTGTGCCCAGAGCCACCCTGCTGCTACAGGGGGTCAGAAGCTTCAGGTGCCTGCCAACTGTGGTCACTGCTGGGTGCGCCAGGTTGGGACAGGCAGCAGCCAGACTCTGCACAGCCTGGTAGAGCATGGTGGCAGCAGGAACTGACCTCAGGCTGCCTTACTATGGTCACCAAGCTCCATTGTGCCCTGGAGTAGCATAACTTTAAGCCAAATAACCAGTGCTTTAAATCATGTAAAGGTGTTAACATGCAGCAAATCCAGAGGCTATGAGCTCCAGAAGCCACCTAAAAATACCATGTAACAAGGCCCCAAGAACAAAGGTGTAACCAAGGCTAAACCACCAAGAAAAGGATCAGGCAGGTCATCCCGCATTCTGCCCTCTGCCTGAGCTGATGGCTGGCATGGTGCCACCTGAGCTCCAAGAGGCCTGATCCTTTTTTTCTCTGGAGTTTGCCCCCTCACACTGCTAGCTGGCCAGGTGCCACCTAATCTCCGAGGTGCCTGATCCTTTTCAGAGCTCAAATGGCACCAGGCCACCTGGCTGGCAGCACAGGTGGGAGGGGGGTGGGGGAGCAGGCCCCAGGGGAAAAAAAAGGATCAGGCCCCTTGGAGCTCAAGCACTGAGCTGGTCTGGGTGGTGGCGGGAGGCGCCATGGCTGCTGGGCACTCCAGGTCTGCAGCGTTCACTCTGCCCCACAGAAGCAGCAAGCTGGTCCTGCCCCTAGCTCCCTGCTCACCAAGTGTCTAGTGGCAAGTCACAACTGTGCAGGTGAATGACAGCCTGAGATGGTTTTTCACTTTAGGGTGTGACTGCTGCACTAAGCCAAACAACACTAAGCTGATTAGCATTTGTTTGGCTTACTGTGTAAGGTGCAACAAGGCCCTAAGACTCCATAGTCTCTGTTTAAACTATACTTAGCGCAATCCGGTCTGTAGATAATTTGCTGTTCCACAATTTCCGTTTCAAATCATTTTTAAAAGTTTGTTGTATGAGAACAGCCTCCAGGTCAGAAATAGAGCATCCAGGGTGGTTACAGTTTTGCCAGTCTTGCATGTCTTTCCACAGCTGATGTCAGAAAGGTTTCATTCATTCTGTCAAACAGGGATTATCCCATCTGTCTGAGGAGTGGCAGAGGGGCACTGTAAGCAGATGATGGCATATATTAACATTGGTTGAGCTGCAAGTGAGTGAACCTCAGATGTCATAATCTGTTATTCAGTCCAGTGAGCATGTGCTGTGCTGCTCCTCTTTTCTCCTAGATTTTGACTTGAATCCATCTGTTTACTGCCTAGGTGATTTCCTGGCCCTACTGAAATCAATGGGAGTTTTGCTGCTGACTACAATAGGGCTAGGATTACACCCCAGGTCTTCTAACAACCCCCTAAAATATATAAAGCGCAAAATGGCATGTATCATACGTAATATGTACATGGTTTTAAATATCTAAAGTTCAAGTAATTTAGAACTATTACATTGTTCTAAAAGATTGTGTGAAATCCATTGACTTTCTATATTTTATTAAAATTAAGAGTGTTTTTCCTTTTGTTGTGACCTTAACATGGAACACTCCAATACGCAAGACTGAGGAACCTCAGAATGCTTTCTCTCACAGAATAAAACCCTCTCTGTATGCAAAATTATGAGGTTGGGAGTGTTCAGCTGGTGATCTGACTGGGTTTTATAGTAACTGTGAGAGTTTCACTTGTGAATGCACAGGGTGAGACACCCACAAAGAGAAGCTGAGTAGTTCTGGCATGCAGCCTAAAGTTGAATGAAGGGACACATTTATAACCACAAAAGCACTCCTGCAAATGCTTAGCAATATGTTATATTCCCTTAGTCCTTAAAATGCTGGCATTTTCCAAGATAACAGCCTAATGCATTTGTGAGAAGGCAAACAGAATGTCGTCAGAAGGATAATAATTTATTTGTCAGTGGTTGAAATATGCAGTTTTGCATTTTAAGACATGGGTAAGGAAAAGTGTAGAAAATAGGAAACCCTCTGGAGACCCTCCCATAGATGATCCGCATGTTACTGAACTCTTTCTTGAACTCTCTCCCCAATGATTCACAAAGGAAACAATGGATTCTACAGAGTCCATTGTAACAGATAACCCCAGATGTAACAAATAACTCTTTTTGAGAGTGGAGAAGCTCAGGTTGATGGAAATTTAATGGATTAGCAAAGATC